GACTGAATTCTGCACACTCACCAAATAAATTATTTTAAAGAATTTTTCTATTTATCTGAAGAATCCAATCCATCGATCCAATAAATAAATTTGCTTGTAAGTTATTCATAATGTTGAAACTTTCATCCAAATCTAATGACAAAAATCAAGAACTTGTTTGACTTTTATTATTAGGATTAGATGAAAGTTTTAATTTCGTAATGAAAATGGATTCTCGGAAATTCAGTCGTTCGAATACAACCACAATTAATAATATTCTTCCGTAATTAAACTTTAAAACTTCCTTAACAGCCAGGACTTGGAAAAGTTTCAAACTTTTACGTTCATCTGTAGTAAAATTATCTCATTATTTTACGGTTGTTCTTATTATTATTTAATTCAAACTGTCAATTTTACATACAGTATATAATCCCAAATCACAAAGATTTATTATATTTTATTTTTAATATTTCCTTTACTTCTAACTTTTCTTTTATATTATTTACTTCTTTAAATCATATTTAAGATTTTTTAAAACATTTTCTTCGTCCATTGTTTATATGTTTTATATGTTTCAACGTTTCGGCTTATTTGCGGAACCTCCAAAAGTATATTAGTGTATTCTTCTCAGATAAGTTCAAGAGCTAGGAGTTACAATTTCTAGAAACCTGAAATCTACTAAATTTTCATAAGAGATTTCTTTTAAGATTTGGTTTTGTCCTCTTTTCCTCCATCCACTAATTCTGGGTCCTCGCTCTCCTTTACTGCTTGAAATATTTTATCCCAAAAATTTCCACTGTTCATTATTATATTAGAACATATAATATAATCTAAGATTAAAATAATAGTTAGTAACATTCAAATTTTGTGCATTAATTCTTCTTAGATTAAAAATAAAAATAAGAGTTATATCAAAAACGAAACTTTTGTAATTTATTTTATTTCGAAATTTGAACTTAAAGTACGTAAGATTATATTTAATTACTTTTAAAAAGTTCTATACAAAACAAATATTATTAAAGGAAATACAATGAAATTTTACAGAAGGCCTACTTAGTACAAAAGGTATATAATATAAGGACAATTTTAAATTTAGACCTACTTTAATGTAGGATGAGATAGGCCTGTGTTGAAAATAGGGCAACCATGAAGAAATGTATCTAACTAATGAGAGAATTATTTTAATGAGATAATTTAAAAATCTAATTATAACCAATATGTATTACCTGAAATTGAAGTAATTTCAACTTATACGATTGAATTACAGCGAAACAATTAAAATGATAGAATGTGTTTTCATAATGTTGTGAGAATACAAAATATATTATTTAAAAATATATCAGATGTAAATTTATCTGAAAAAACAATTGTTTTATTTTTATATCGCTAGAATGATCTTACAACAATGCATTCCTGTTAAACATGTTTAAAATTTTGTACTTGTTCCCATTTCAAAACATTAATACTGTTATAATATTTGAAATAACATCGCATGGTCTCTAGACCTATCTACAATATCATTTGTAAAATAAATGTGTGAATCCTTGATTTTGAAAAGTTATACGCGATAATAACTATTAATCCATCATACTTATTATTTACCTTTCAAAACAATAGTATCTGCTTAGCTATCAAGGTAACGTATTACATGACGAAAGTTATATTAAAATAAGTTTATATATATATTATAGTTAAAATTATAGCATAGAATCTCCTAAATTATTGACAAGGTTACATTATGGCTAATATAAAAATAATTTTACTTAATGTATGATAATCCCTGAATTATATTTCACATCCGGTGAATCAACTATTGTCAAAAAGTAGGTTGAAAGTCTGACATGCTCTTGTATGAAACGCCTACGCAGTACATACCATATGGCGAAATACATTGTTAACAATCGGAACTACTTTGACGCTTCTGGTCAGAATTTTGACGTCATTTAGATCCGGATTTCATGTTTCTTGATGTAACTTTCCAAAAGGGGGAAAAAAGGTTAAGGGTTCAAGTTATACTGTTTTTATACAAAAGTATTGTTCCACGAGTGAGGATTTCCTAATTGGTGTCTTCTTAGAATCTACTCAAATTCTCTTTTATCATTTCACTTATCTAAATTATACCTCTCTTGCATTTGTGTAGTTATCATGAATATTTTGATTAATTATTTCACGGATGTTGATCTTTAATAGTTTCACTTGAATAAGAATTATTAAAATGTAAATTAAAAACTTTTTAGCGTTTTATAATTGGTGTTAAAATTTGATTTTAATTATATTCTTTCAAAATATTATATTTTATGAATTCCAGACAATGCTTATTACTAACTTATAGAACATTATAAATGCTCTCTTTCCTGCAAAATATAAAGTTAATGCAGGGAAGTATGTCTTAAGGTGCACTAATTAATTAGCATTTCTTTCTGACCAAATCTAATATTTTTTAATGGAATTAAAAATTAATTCATCTACATTTTTAAAAAGTTAGGATTAAGATAATGTTAATAGTAAGTTGTTTTTGATCGTAAAACTGAAGATATTATTAAAATAAGTGAAAGATTTAGGTAATATCCTAATTTTATATTTTCACTTAATTAATGAATAAATAACTTATCAATTAAGCTTATAAAATTATTTACTAAGATTTAATTTATCATGGATGTCATAAACAATAAATTTCGGTATTTTGTAAGAATTAAGTAATACGTAGAATGACTACACGAAATCTCAGCCTTGAATACAATCTAATGACATCCATTCGAGACACCATTTAGGAAGGAAAGACTTTTCCGTGAACATCGTTAGTCTATCACGAATTTCCTATTGGTAGAACTCGAGTGGGGCCCATAGACACGTCCTTGACCTTAGGCAAGATATCATTTAGCTCCGGCAATCAATGTTCGAAGCGGTCAAGCGTGATGTTAAAGGTTCATTCTTCAAGGTCGGTTTTTTATCTCAATAGTCAAATAGACGCTTTTCATATTCAAGGTTGTTTGCCTTTTAAAGTTATTCTCTTAAGGAACTTATAAACATTCAATTAGCTTTAAGCGTATACTGCAAATATACGCATGAGAAATTGGGGACGTGACAATTAATTAAAATGCCAGATTCTCTACAGTATATATATAAATGTCTTATTAAATTTTAAAAATTTTGATAGTTTATTTTAAATATGCTTAAATAGATCGAGTAAATAATTATATAAAATCAGGAAACATTTAACACGAAATAAACTTAATACGAATAAACTTATATAATATTCTAGTAAGTTTAATCATTTCCATCTTATTTTGTATATGACAAGTCTTTATTTTTCTGCCAAACCAACCTTGAGAGTGTGGGTTTTTCCTCTTTTCGTTCGTGACCATTGTTCTTGCCAAACCTGTCAAGCTTAACAGAAAGAGAAAGTATATTCCAGCAAGCTCTCTTCCAACAACTATTTAATAGATGATAACGTAGTTAAATTTATTTTAACATTAAATTCAATAAACTCAAACCTATTATATGTTATTATAATGACTCTTCTAGACATTTTCTATAAGTTAAAAACTTATTTCGAAACGATTTTTTAATAACTAAAATATTAATTTTAAATTGTATTTTTCGAAATTTGTTATTCTTANATATACATTCCTGAATCTTTTTCTGGCTTTTAATTATTCATTAATTAAATATTACGACGAAATTGAATGAAAATGAATTTATAGATAAGATTTAAAATTTCCATTGAAGGAGTTTTTATAGTTTACATTAGAACTTATCTTACATGGCAGATGTCCAATTCTGTAAAAAGGGCATTTCGGGTTAAGGCGTAATTGATGTCGATTCAATTTGGAAATGATGTCATCAGAATAAACATTACAGAAAAATGTTTTGCTAGAAAAAATGTGTTTATGTCGAGAGGTAATTGTATTCATAGACTATATCATGTCAACTTGAAGGTAAAACTTATTATTAAATATTATGAGAAACTTTTATCTTTCTTTATATAAACAGTAAAAATTTTTTTGCATTTCTTCGTGATTGTATAAGAATAATTTGTTGTGTTTTTAGGTCTTTCTAATTTTACTTCTTTTATGTTAATGGTAGAAAATATCGATTGCTTTAGACAGGTTAGTCTGTCCAGATGGTATTTACTAATATAAATTTAATAACTTGATGAAAATACTATGAAGTAATTTGTCTTCCTCTATTACTGTTTACGTAATCATTCAGATTCATTAAAGATTTTTAGCCACCAGAGTAGGACAAACTGTGATGACATTCATTCTTTTAGTCACGAGGCTTGGACGTCATAATGGATTTTCCTACCTCGGATCCGGAATTTAATAGAATAAGGCTGTATCCCTCCAAAAGGTCACAATTGGATGGTGATGAGGGTGGATACGGTACTTTCCCGATTTTCTTAAGCAACATTCTCTCTTTCACCTTTGATTCCACAAAACTTATTTATATGTCAAACTATGGAATTTCTCATTATAAGCCTTGATTAAATATTACTAATAACATATAAATGTAAAAAATGTTAAGAATTGTTTCATTAACATAATGATTTTACTTGTTTTTACATTAAACACATAATAATGAGCTGACAATTTTACTACGTTAATAAATATTTATTTATAAAACATTTATTTTCAGGAAATTTTTAAGTTGTTACAAAGTAATGTTTAATTTAAAATATTAAAATTAATCAATAAACCGTTTTAAGATAATTTATTTATTATAAACATAACTTTTTTAAAAAGATAAGTTTCGGATTTTTTCTGATATAAATATCGAGTCTTAGATCATTCTCAGGAAACTTGAGTAAATTCCAAACGAATATTAAAAACTGTATAAAATGAATAATAAACACTAAATTGAACGAATTCTTTTATAGAGCATAAAGTTAAACAGGTAAAATAACAAAAATTCTCACGATCCTTTTTTCACTATCTTCTCTACAGTTATCGAGAATGCAGAAAAACATCTTTTATTAAAGAATATCTGATGTTATCACAATGAAGACACTTTATAAAGAGTTTGTGAGGTCACGAGTGTGACGCCTCCACTCCCGTCTCATCGTCTTACCTGGCTGTATATAAATAAGGTACGAGACACTCTTGTTCAGTAACGTATCCAACGTGCTGCATTCAAGGACAGCAGGTCAGTAAGAGTTTTTCCTTAAAATGTATATACTTTCTCTTTCTTATCCTTTTCGAATCACGTGAGTTTTACAATCTTCCATATCATTAGAGAATCTTATCGGTCACTAGTCTATAGTTGATGAACTGATATCTGTGAATTTAAAGTTATAATTATAGCGTTTATTACTTACTACAAGTATTAATGGACATTTTCTCATCTGTCAAATGAGTTGAAATCTTTCATGATTGAAAAATTCTAAAATTATTTTTCAGCATAACGTTGGAGATGAATAAACATCGAAATTTTGTATTGTTTACCTTACTGTTAGCAGGTAAAATATTTATTATTTTTAATAATTAATTATAATATTTTAAAAACCTCTTTTTAATTTAAAAACATCGAAATTTAAATAATTAGATTCGTTATTTATAATAAAAAAATAAGTAAAATATAATTTGCTAACAATATTAGTCAGTATATAATAATTTGTATTATAATTTTTTCCTTATAGCAATATCTACCTGCTTGCCAGCAGAAAAAGTAAGTACATTAATAACAGTTCTGAATTTTTGACTTAATAACAATATACACTTTATGATGATTCTTAATCTGTAAATCTAAGGTATTTAATTAACTTTTAATTTATTAACATGGAATTTTAGGTTGAACAATTGCAAGATGAACGTGGAGATAGAGGTGAACTTATACTCAATATTGAAAAGAGAGGAAGACGTGTTGGAAGAAGTAGTAAAGCATATACTGATGATCGATGGGGGGATGGAAGTGGGGTGAGAGGAACCGCCGGTGTGGACTATCCAAATTATAATGAAGTCCCTCGCACAAGTTTTAAATGTAAAGATCAAGCATATATTCCTGGAATGTATGCTGATGTAGAAGCCCAATGTCAGGTATGTATCTTGAATAATATAAATTTATCTACGTTTTTAATGATTGCTAAGTTTATTATTTCTTTTCATCCGAATAAATCATATTGTTTTAAAAATTCGTTTGTACTATTTACAAACTTCCAAACCTTTGAAGTTAATCATGCATATAAATTAATCATTAAGATATTATTAAGATTCGATATAATCTTTATGGCATGAATCTGTCACATATGATATATTGAAAATATACTGGATCCTGCCAAACTAGTTTATTATTTTCATTTGTTGTCCTAGTTCAAAACTCTTGGTCTAGAATTTCTTAATTTAGAATTTTAATAAAATATCGTGATGATTATAAAATAATTTATGAAACAGAACGTGGATAAGTTCTCATCTAGTAAATGCTAAAGAAAATAGGGCTTAATGATACTTAAGACACAAATACCTATTTTAAGCAAATATTTTCTTTTTAAGTTTATAATATTTTACTTCATAAAATATATATATATATAGTTATAGGGGAATATAATTAATTATTTTTTAAAAAAGCATAAAATAAAAAAATATATATTTTTAATCCAGATTATTTTAGATCCATGGTTCTTAACCTGTGGTCCGTGGACCACTGGTGGTCCCTGAAAGCACCCGAAGTGGTCCGCGAAGTTATCCCAACATTATTAAATAAATGACGACGAGTTGATGACAATGCGCAGTACGTCAAGGTTAGAGAAGATAGCGGACTGGGCTGGGGTATGGTGCGCGGTCAGAAAATATGAAATTGGAAGGCACTAGCAATAGATTTGCATTTGAGATAAAATCAGTGCGTTTATCGCTAAAATCGACCTATGGATCAGCAAAGTCAAAAGAGAGAATTTTTCTGCGTTTGATACATTGAACCCAATTATTGATTGACAGTGTGCTGAGATTAAAGGACAAATACAAAAGAACATTACATTCCATTTGCAAAGCTTGAAAAATGAATTCAATCACTATTTTCCTGACTGCAAGGACAAAGGTGTTCAGAAACTGATTTCAATCCTTTCATAGTCAACATTTCTGAGGTGCCGGATGAAATACAAGAAGAGTTATTTGAAATGCAACATGATAGTAACTGTAAGGATACATTCGAGACAGGAATTAAAGATTTTTTTTTTATTCTGATGAAACTGTGTTGTAGTGTGTCTGTATAAAGCAGCTTAAAGATTTTTGGAGCCAAAAAGCTATTGCTTTCCCTAAAATTCGAGAAATTGCTTTACAGTACCTAACTTTATTTTCAACCACATATTTATGC